TTATGGCTAAGTTATTACAATGTGGGATATGTTATACATGTCGGATAAATATGATATAGTGGATAATGTTGATATGTTTGAGAACTCTGCTATCTCTGCTATCTCTACAATCTATATTGAGTCACATGATCACAATTAAGAAATTAAGAAATTAAGGATAATTCCGGACCGTAACAATGATAACACCTATCAGAAATCTGATCGTGACAATGTGAACTTATATTAATATCTGAGATTTTTCTTCTAGAATAGGGGTGGCTAAAGCCAGGTATATCACGTGATATAATTAAAGATTGATTTTAAGCTTAGGGTTGATTAGGAATTGAGATCAAGATTATAATAAAATTACCTCACTGACATTTTTTAAGCATCTGTTTTCCGTTATTTTGTTCGCGCTTCGGATTTGTTTTGCAAATATTTACGCATAGTGTTACCAATCAATCAATTATTTAATTTATTTGCTAACTAAATTAACCATTAAATAATTGATAATATAATATAATACAGTATAATTCTATCAACTAACAATTATTAATCGAAAGTCCTTTACAACGGCCGCATTGGATTGGCACTTTTGAGCCGGTATATAGTGCTTATATAATAAACTTCGGTATGGAGAGAGCTTTTAAATTGTAAAAATCGGGATATCAATACGATATAAACCGAATCCGATGTATACAGCGCCGTTGTAAAGGACTTTGACTATAATTAGGAATACGATAAAGCGTTGTACCTTCAGGTAATCCATCCAATGAGGATGCGCAAATTTTGTTGGTCACCAATAAGAATGCACAAATTTTGATCAACCCGGCAAAACAAATCCTGTACAAGAAAATTAAAAAGGCGAATAATGTGAAAAATATGGAAAACGAATGGGTAAACCTAGCTTTACATATAACCTTTACTCCAGTCCTACCTAACCCTTATCCTGCCCTTATAAAGCATTGACCGGTGATTGATCACGTGGGTACAACGCTTTATCATAGCCCTAGATTTAGGCATCTATTTCCCGTATTTTTTTCTTGTGTCGGATTTGCCGTGCTGATAAAAAATTTACGCATTCTTATTGGTTATCACGTGACCCGAACATTTTTGGCTAGGGCACTTAATATTTGTCACTTCCTAATACATTCACGTGAGAAATACGAATACAATTTATATAACAGACCTAGTTTTATTAAAGGAAAGAAAGGTTTCATAATGATTTCATTGTGCATTTATAACATTGACTAAGAAAGAAATCATAGACGATTTAATTTTTTGAATTTCTACGTTTCACAAAATAAAACGTTATAAGGGCTTGGTTGTCTTGGCTCCTTTATAAACCGTTTCACTCCTTTTTTATCATATCACGAAAAGCCTCTCTATTATCTTCGCCTCAAAATAGTTTCGATTGTGTTTTGTCTGCTTGACAACTCTTAAAGCCGTATCTAACAAAAATTCCATCTAACGCGCATTTACAAATTAGAGTAATTCTTCACAAGCAAGATCAACTTAATTTATTTTATAAACTATTTCTACGAAAAATAAATGTCTCCCGTAGCAGCACTACATACATTATATGCGCGTGATGATGTTTCAGAGAGACTAGAGCCAAATTCTACACAGCGATTTACATTGTATTTCATTGGGGGATATATTGTGGGCATATTAATCTTGTGGAATTTACCAATAGCGAGCAAAATTCTTTATCCATTTAAGGTACAAACATAAATAATATTTCGACTCTTGAATTTAGTTTAAAAAAAAGAATGAAAATTTATTGTTATTCTTTCGACAACTTTAGTTGCTTACTGTTGGTTTACATGAGGTGAGCTTTAAATCATATATCTAGTAATGTTAAATTTGGTAAATAATGATTAAATGTCTATATTATAACTACAAGTTTAGTCACGCGGCAGCAGGGTGTTGTACAGGTGCCAAAATCGAGGCAATCGAAATAGATCCTAATGAAGGTGGAGTTACGCGGATGGTAAGCTAACTAAATTCATGCTTATATGCTTATGAAAATAAAATTATACCTAAAATTAATTTCTTGTTTATTGGATACCTAATTAGCGTGGTGGTGTACAATGTTGTACACTACCGGCCGGATATTTGGGTTCTTCACTCATCGGTGCGATATTAATATTTTGTGGATTTAATATACTCGCGTCACAATTCGCGTCAATATTTCTGGGACTGTGTCTGTTAATAACGCTCTGGTGGGCGAGAAATTGGTTGACTCGATGTATTACCATTTTCTTTGTTGGAGTTATGATAGGATTATGGTTTATTGAGAAAGGAGCTGGCTTGAAATATTTTGTGTTGTTTGTTGGGTAAGTTACTTTGATCTTTTTGAAAGCCTTTTTCTAATAATGCATAATAATATTGATAAAATTGCATTTTTGTAGTGTAATGTCGTGTCTATATTCCTTATGGGATATAATGGATGATTTAGGTAAGTTACTTTGCATTATTATTTTCTCAATAAGCATCGCTTTTAACCATTTTTACATCACATAGTTTTCCGGAAAGTGAATGAATCAGACGCCTCAAAATTCGCTAAAACTTGTGGATGTTGTCCAGCTCAAGTGTGGGGCGTCATTTGGTTGTTGATTAGTTTTTGTTTTTTGGCGATGGGTGTATTAGCCGGACTTGCAGCATTTAAACAAGACAGTCAAGAACAAAAAGATCAGTCAAAGCATGTGTTTTGAACGCCAAAGAATCTTTACTGTATTTTATGATTATTTATTTGTAACTTTTTGTATTTTATTTCCTAAATGAACCGTTCAATCTACCTTTTAAACTAATTAATTTTCCGCAAGTAATTGACTAGTTGAAATTCACTGAATGTAATTGGATCTCTTTAATTATTTTAAAAGAAAATGGTAATATTCTTTCGAGCTTCCCATTATCCCCATTCGCCTATTTTTCTGTTTTTCGTCTGATTGCCTTCAACTTGTGCTAACATCCCTTTAGATGTCATTAATTCTCGATTTTCATCACTAATTCAAATATCACTTGCTTGTTTCCAAAAGATTATTTAATTCAACAAAATTTAGTTTCAGTATATCTTGTGCCGACAATTGGGTTTGAATGGATTGTCTTCTATTATCGTTATTAAATTTATCTTTTGGAACAAGAATTTTATTCGTACCACTAGGCACGAAAAAAAATATATCGATCACTTCTATTTACATTAAATATATGAATTACTCATTTAGTATTCTTTATTTTGTTTTCTCTTTTTTCTTTCGTGTATACTCAAGATTCTTTTTACCCGATTTCGAGGTTTTCTCATTCGAATTATCTGTGTTTAATTTTGTGCTACTTTCAGCAGAAGATTTCGATTGAGCTTGCTCTGCTTTACGCTTGATTGTTTTAATACTCCACGAGTTATTCGGAGGGGGTTGCTCGCGTTCCAAGTTTTTTAGCTTTTTACGAAACTGTTGCAATCGTTTCTTTTTCGAATATTTTTTTACGTCTTTTTGTACCACGCTCTCTGGTCGAAAGCTTTATAAAAAGATAAAAACAGGATTATTAGCTAATATATTTGTTGGCATTACCAATTAAAAATACACATACGGAGCTAGTTTCTTGAGTGGCACATATTCATTTAAGTCTTTGTCATCTGATAAGAGTATTTCTGCAGGCGAGAGACCAAAACTGGTTGGTTTTACTTGTGTATATTTGAAGCGTACGGGAATACCGGCAACCTATAAGATTAAAAAGCAAATTAATTAAGGATATTGTGTGGAGAAAAATATCGTTAGATGTTATACACCGGAATTACTTACGATATCTTCATAATCGAGTTGATAATATTCATCTAAATATTCATCAAATTTTTGTTTCTTTTCGTCTTTAATCACTTTTCTTTTCTTCTCTGTAAATCAATAGAAATGTAACTTGTGAGAAGTAAGATTCTAAATTAGAATCAATTAATAAAGATAATGCATACTAGATTTTGTTTCGTCGTAATGTATCCCACCCGGTAAGTAATCGGCATCCATAATAAAACTACTACCATCTTCATTTCCGTCTTGTTCATCCTCCTCTTCTTGTTCATCTTCCTCTTCTTCCTCCTCTTCTTGTTCACCCTCCTCTTCTTGTTCACCCTCCTCTGCTTCCTCCTCCTCTTCTTGTTCACCCTCCTCTTCTTCCTCCTCCTCTTCTTCATATTCCCGCGCTTTATCATTTGAGACCTTTTCCTGAGAAAGACCAGATTTAGTGGCAACAATATCATTTATATCAATATCATCACCCCATTCAGGTTTTTCATCTTCATTCTCCTGTTGTTTTCATTTAACAGTATAATATTAATTATCGGATAAAGATACGATATTGCCATATTATTTTCGGATTTACCTCCTGGCCATAGAAATCCTCATTAAATACATTGTTCATTCTTTTGTCATATTTTACTGGATCAAAATCCTCCTCTAGATCAACATCGTCGAATCCGACACCTTTTTTTATCATGAAACAATACACATAGTGTAATAGACATTCGATCATGGTTGAATTAAAAAAATACAAGTAATAAACGTCACGAGTATTTACTTGGATTTCCGGTAATTTCTTTAATCTGCATCAATTTTTCGTGAATTTCTTTTTTCTTTAAATTTTTTAGTCTTTTTAATTCTTCTGTTTTCTTTAATTTTTCTTCTTCTTTGCGTTGTTCATGCGATTGGCGTTGAAGTTTACGCTTGGTGTCTTTTCTATTTAAAGATAATAAAACAAATGATTTTAACAAAGCAAAAACTGATATTATCAAATTATCGAATTATTAAATTACCTTCGTACAGAACCTTCAATATTACGAGAATGCGTAACTATTTTACTACTCCCTCTAAAGAACGAAGTTACGAAATATGGCTTAATAAAGGTTCAAGGTAATAGAATATATATAAATGCTTGCTTACTCTTCTTCGAATCGAAAGTTGTATTTGCTTTCAAATCGATCAACAGCTTCTTCGAATCCATCCTCTTCATCATCGTGATGTTCTTCAACAAGCTCTTTATATGTCGGAATTCGGATGGCATTTTTATCGATCCAACCACGATTAAGAATGTAACTTTTTAAATAAATAAATTAGCAGCTGATATATATATATATCACGTAGTGAATATTAGATATAATAGCTTACTCCATTAGAAATGCCTCGTCCGGATTTTGACTAGAATCTTCTAGATCTTGCCATGGCTGTAAATTTTCATGCTTTTCATCCTGAAAAAATTTTTGAAAAGCATTTATTTTTAATAACGAGGAATTTTCTGTTTATTACTAAATTATTTTGTAATTCCACCTTCATGTTCTCCAATAAGAATTTTCGATAGTCTTCTTCTTCAGTTTCTAATTCTTCTGCTGTTTTTGATCTTTCCACTAGAAATTCTTCTTCCTTTCCAGCATCATCGTCGTCGGCGGCAAAAAATGCAGCCTTAAATTCATTTTTTAGCTGTTCCTGTTCCTCTACGTGGGTTAATTCACGCTTGTCATTACTAGCTTTTTTTCGAATGTCGTTGTCATCATCATCAACAACGATTCCTCCGCTCTCTAATAAAACATTCCGCTGATAGTCTGTGATTCGCAATGGCTTGGATTGAGACTGCAATCAATTAACGAAAATGGATTAGCAATATACTCAAATTGTGAAAACTAAGAAAACCAATTGTGCTCAAAAAACCCCCGATACCTTTTTTTGTTGCTTTTCTTTCCAACTTTTTCGTGCTTTTTCAATTTCCTCGTCTAAGTAAAAAAAAAAACATTGATTAGAATTATGTTTAAACTTGAAAATCAAAAATCTAAATATGCCGCCTAACCAGCAAAAAAATCAGCATTATTATCATATACTTTTGGATCTTTGGCTCGTATTGAAGTTATTGTTTTCATTATTTGTGCGTCAACTTCTGGAGTAACCAACTCGCCGAATTCGTCTTCTTCTTCAGAACTGCTTGACTCACTGTCTTCGTCTTTAGAGTTTGTTGCCCTAACCGAAATTTCGCCATATTTTTCTTTGACTTGAAAAGAAAGTAAAAAAGTGTTAATATGAATAAAATTTTGAAAAAGAACACATTTCAATGAACACACGTTTTGTTAATTCTTCGCCTCTTTTTCGTTCTTCATATCGTCTAGCATAATCGGGATTAATGGTCAAAGTGTTGAGTTCTTTGTCATTGTCGAAATTCATTGTCAAAAAACTGATGCAGTTAGGATTACCAAAGATTGTGTCACAGTTCCTAAATAAAAATGTGTATCTTTGTTCGCATCGTACACCAACAGCATAACCCCTAATACAAACTGGCGACTTGAACTGCTAGACTAGCAGTTCCCCTCCCTTTTAATCCATTTCAATCTTTTTTGCTCTTTCCCCACCATCTACTCGACAAACATTAGAGCAAACATCAATTTTTTGTCTTTTCACTGTGAATATTATTCATAAAAACCGGTTTTAATTCAGAATAGATTTCTGAATTTTTTAAAATAGAACTTTCTAAAAACCACCTTAACAACGACGTATATTTTAATAAATCGTCCGATTTTCTTTCTCAAAAATCTCAATGACAATGCCTAATTCTCTTCATTCAAACGAGAAGGAAGTTCTTCCTATTCCGAATGGTCATAATCCCGCTAAATGTGCGCCTCCAACAGGTATGTAATTGTTATTTGATCGATTGTAGAGAATATGATCTTTTTGAAGGAATCGAAATGGAACTTTATTTCTCAAATTTGCTAACCAATCCATTATGTATATGTATACACATATGTGTATGCAGATTCACGGAGTGCCTCTTTAACGACTGCACAGTTATCATTGCTCGTATTAGTGATTCAAAACTCGACACTAGTACTAATGATGCGGTGTTCGCGTGTACGTAAATCACCTGATCAAATGTACATAGCATCGACAGCGGTCTTCCTCGCAGAAATATTGAAAATTATAGCCTGTTTGATAGTACTTCTAATTCAAAAACGAACATTAAAACGATTCATTAATGTTATTCAAAAAGACATCTTTGAACAGCCAACCGAGATAATAAAAATGATTATCCCATCCGCACTTTACGCGTTGCAAAATAATCTTCTTTACGTCGCGTTATCAAATTTGGAGGCAGCCACTTTTCAAGTCACGTATCAACTGAAAATATTATCGACGGCTATTTTTTCCGTGTTAATGTTGGGAAGATCATTGAGTCGCGGTAAATGGTTTGCTCTTGTGTTACTCATGGTTGGAGTTACACTTGTACAACTGCAGACTGTCAATCATCATATTACAGCATCATCTGCATCGGATATTGATATTGATAAGAATAACAATCAAACAATCAATTTAAAAAATCATAACGATGAAGATCCAACTTCCTCCACTATTACCGTCACCTCTAAATCATCCACCGCCACTGCGACGCATATATTGATGGCAGCACAGAATCCATTGATCGGCTTAATCGCGGTTATTACTTCTTGTATTTCATCAGGATTTGCGGGTTGTTATTTCGAAAAAGTCTTAAAAAGTTCTGACACGAGTATGTGGGTCAGAAATATTCAATTGGGTTTCTCAGGATCGACATTTTCCGTGCTTGCAATGATACTTTATGATGGCAAAGAAATCTTTAACGACGGATTTTTTCAAGGATATAATTCATTGACATTTGCAGTTGTTGGAAATCAAGCATTAGGAGGTTTATTGGTTGCGATGGTGGTTAAATATGCGGATAATATATTAAAAGGATTTGCCACTTCGGTGTCAATTATCGTATCAGGAATAATTAGTTTTTACTTTTTAAATTTTCAGCCGAGCTCACAATTCACTATCGGTGCATTTATTGTAATGATTTCAACTTATTTGTACAGTTATTCTAATAGAACATGTAATAATTCAAAAATAGCCCATTAATAATTGAATTTAGAATTAAAAAATAAAAATTTGTCGTACAAATTGACTATCCATATGGCTTTCATTTCCAGTATCAATATCGGCTGACCGCGACACAAGGTTGATCCTTGCTGATATAGAGGCTACGTAATGTATAATTTAGAAAATTATATCTTAATATTACTTTGTTGTGATTAAATTATTACATTTCCTTGAACAAAATTTTGCTGCCATGTCCGATCCCTCGGAAGCTAACAGTAACCATGCTAATAATAACAACAGTAACGCTAATAGACGTCCTTACTGGTGTCATCAATGTCAACGGGAAATAGAACCTTTAATGGCTCCATTACCTACTTGTCCTCGATGTAACAGTGATTTTGTGGAAGAGGTGCACTTGATTTTCACTCTTGCTTAACGTTCAGGATGTTTTTTTTTTTCAATAAGGTTTTCCAAAAAGCTTATTGGTTTGAAGAATGTCCCTTTTGTCCTTTTCTGATATTACTAATTTTTGTATTTTCAATACATTGACAGATTGATGAAAGTAATGATCCAAGGGAATTTGCTGAGCATAATACTCAGGAACACGATTCAGAAGATGAATTCGAAGACTTTGGTCCCAATTTGAATGCCACTCCTGGCGGGGCTGGATCAAATGATGTAGTGCAATTATTATCGAACATGATACAATCAATTTTTGGTCCAAATGTTCCACTTCATGTAGAGACGAGGACCTATGGAGATAATAATGAGGAGGGGGATACTACCACTACCACAACTACAACTACTACCACGAGTATAACAACGGAAGATGGCAACACTACAACCACAACTACAAGTGATCAACCACAAGGGAATGCTCATCCTAATATATTTTTTACAATGAGAGCAAATGGAGGACAAGAAAGTGGTGATGCACGAGTTAATGCCCCAATGCTTATTACCCAGTAGGATTTTTTTTGTTAATTATTTTTATTTGATCGGTTATTTTATAATGGTGATGATGATGATGATGTTGATGGTGATGATGATAAATATAATATAAATTATAGAGTGTTACAACGAGCATTTGGCGAAGGTGCACAGCAGGGAGTCAATAATCCTTGGACAAATGTATTCAATATGGTTGGTAATCCAGGGGATTATGTTTGGGGTCCAGGTGGATTAGATAATATAATCTCACAGTTAATGGAACAACAAGCTGGGTATGTACTATTTTTTATTTTCTTTATATATTCACACAATACATTTAGTAATTTGATTTGAATTAGAAGACAAGCGCCGCCTCCAGCTTCTGATGAAATAATAAATGATTTACTGAAGACGAAAATAAATAAAAAACAAGTTGGTCAGTGTTCGTAATAGTTCCATTATGGGAATCAGACCATAGTAAATAAGAAAATCGCCTGACTAATAATAATATAATTCTTGATGTAAAAGCGGAGGAGCAATTGAATTGTCCAGTATGCAAAGACGACTTTAAAGAAGGTGAAGAAGCAACAGCCTTACCTTGCAGTCACTCTTTTCATGACGAATGTATCAGACCTTGGCTAAAAATGAATGGAACTTGTCCGGTGTGGTATGTTAATTATTTTTTTTTGTTTATCCAATTTGATATTTATTCTGATAAAAAAAAAACTTGTTTTTTGTGTCATATAAAAAAATAATAATTAAGTCGGTATTCACTAGTTCCACAACAAGAAGGGGGAACAAACGATCAGAATCGAAGTAATGGTGGTGTTGGTGGTGGTGGTTCTGGTTCATTTGCTAATACCTTTTTTGGTGGTGGTGGTGGTGGTGGTAACAGCTCAAATGGAAATTTTAATGGGAATGGAAGCAGTGGTAACTTTAATGCTGGTAGTTTTAACGGTAACTTTAATGGAAATCAATCATCATCTTCACAGTCTCATACAAGTTGGAATTTGCCGGGAACATACCCGTCCACTCCACGACAAAATGCACAACAAAATAGACGACAAGATGAACACGATTCTGCTTATGATCCGAATAACATTGAACCATTTGATTGACGATATTTATGACTAGAAAGAAATTACGAGTGGCCTTAGATTACAACATGATGAATACATATAATGTATATATATCAGAATAGATATATATACATTATACGTATTATATTTTAATCAATTCTGTGATATCCTACATTTTTTTATATTTCATTCTTACAATATACAATTTGCCCAAAATGCTAACGTATCATAGACAATTTATTTTTACCTTCTTCATCTATCACTCACTCCCACGATTAAGAACATGTAATTTTTTTGTTCAGGTGTTTTTGCATCAGCGAAGAACAATCAACTAGAAATTTAATACTTTTCAATAAGTCTGCGCGATATTATTGCATTATATTGCGTAATTTCACCATTATTAACCTTGATATAATTAATATAATTAATTGATGTATACAAAAATCAATATTATACAAATTTTTTGGTCTGGCAAATTAATCATTAATAAATTCTCCGAGTAAAAGCAAAAGATCTCAAAATGAAGAAATAAATTTCTTAATGTGCAAAGATTATTCTTTGGAAGAAGATTGGTAAGTAAGCACTTCAATCAAATTATCTTTTGCTTGTTCCCTTTTGCCACCTCTTAAATATTGCTCCATTATTGCTTTTCCTTTGCAGAATTCTTGCAACTCTCGTCTACGCGTATGTCGATCCAGCTCCACGGCGTACTTGAGTCCTTCCAAGAGCTCGATATTTTCTTTCAATACAGAATTGACGTAGACCAAATAGAAATAGATTTTCTTCTCTGAGAGAAAAGCTTGTTTTCTTTCTCTGCGCGATTGCTGATTCTTTTGGGTTAGAGAAGTATTAACAGCAGCAGTATCAGGACTTGTAGAACTAATATTATGAAAAAGATCATGAAGATCAGTAAGAGCTTTAAGGACGTTGTTAGCAGACGTAAGGATATCCATCAAGTCTTTGAGCACAGTTATCATGAATTCGGGTGATTGCGTATATTTGGGTTTCTGCATTAAAAACAAATAAAGATTTAAGATGCAACTTTATTCATCTAAATTTACAACGTAAAGTTAATTCTGACCTCAGCAATAGTCCGCAAATTCTCTGAGATAGCCTCAGATACATTTTCATAGACAAAAGTTGTTTTCGAAGACAAACTCGAGGATAAATCCCAGAGAATATGACAAGTTCCTTGTGAATCCTCGAAGATCTCTCCGTTCAAATATCGACATGTATGAGCATACGCGAATCTTTATGAATTAGAAGGAGTCAAGAATAGTGCTCAAAGAATCCAATAATTATTCCTATCATTTCGAAAGGATACAAAATATTCACCAAATGGAATACGATAGCTGGATCTGGCGGAGTTTTCGTCAATTCTTCCAACGGTTGAATATTTTCAAGAATTGACAGTTCATGCGAATTCCTTCTTGTTTCTTCTTCCCCTTCTAAACTCTGTATTTTGGTTGACTGCATTGTATCACCTTGTGTGGTTACCCACCAAGGTTGCCATAATTTTATCTCTGAAGCAATTTCTGTCGTTAAATCTCCCATTTTGCCCGTTCGGGAAATTTTCTCGAATTCTTGTTCTATTTTTTCTCTCTCGCGTGCATTTAAACGACTCCATATCGTCTCAAAAGAAACCGACTCTTTGGACAATAGAAATAATAAAAACAATGATTAGAATCCCAAAGACTAAACAAATAAATCAGTTTTCTCACCGATATCCAAATTTTTAAATCTTTCAGTCAAATCTATCGATAAAACAAAATATTTGATTTAATTGATGAATATACACAGATTCTTGGCATAATGGGAAGAGATGGTACCCTCGTTATTTTCAACCTCCTCGTCAGCCTCATCCATCATTTCTTCTGCCGCCATTTCATCACCTTCTCGTTCGAATCGTTGCAAGAGTTCAATCATTTTTCGCTTCTCTTCATCATCCACACTTTTACTCTTTATTTCCTCGATTATGCTATTTTTGTAGAAATTTTCTGTGCAAACATTGTGTTGCTATATATCCTTTTTTTATCAGTATTTATTTCCTCGTATAAATCATATTTTGATTGCACAGAGGAAAATTAGCAAAAACCTCATTTTTATAGCAATTCAAAGAACAATATCGAAGATTACAGCGTGGACAAGTATACTTTGAAAATTGTCGTTTGCATCTTTGACATTGAAAATAATGAGGATGATTGATTTGAATTTAATGATTCTCAAGGAGATCGATCGTCTAATAAAACTTACATGCCACAAATTGGTTGCTCGTCGTCTTTTTCGAACTCGTTATTTTCTGTATCAGTTTCGTAGCTGACAATATTAGACAAAATATTAGCCATCTTTTATGATGTTTAACCGTTTTTTTGCCATTTTTGGATACAATGAGCATTAGAACACATGCATAAATCATGGACTTCTTCATGGCGTGTAACAAACAAAAAAAATCTTTCTGTCGCCAAAGCAAAAGATTTCGGAGAATTTCGGGCCCCAATTATAAATTATACCGTATACCATCTATTCAATCTTCGATAATCATTTATGCAAATCTTGAATATTATGCAGGTCTAAAAACACGTAAACTTACGCAAAGAAATTCATCTTTATCTCGTAACAATGTCGACAACAACCACCACCACCACAAAAAAACGTAAATATAAATTAGATTCGTGTTTTTCATTCACAAATTTCTGCGGGGTTTGATTGACGCGTCGTTCGTCCTTTTATTGGTCAAAGTCCTGAAGAAAAACAACTTACGTGTTCGAAAAAATTTAATTTTACTCACATATTCCGACATCAGCGCTTCCCTTTCTGTACCAGTTTGCGGCTGGTGGTATAGCTGGTGTCAGTGAAATTCTTGTTTTGTGAGTTTTTTTATAATATGAAATAAATGAATGTATTGGCGTTCAATCATTGATAAAAAAACAATTTAATTTTTTATAATTAATTTTTATTTAGGTATCCTCTCGATGGTAATTATTGTTATGAAATTATATTCTATGTATTCATCGTTATCAACACTAATAATATTATTATCAATTAACTTAGTCGTAAAGACGCGATTTCAACTACAAGTTACTGGTGTTGGTGAACATTATACTTCGGTGTTGGACTGTTTCAAAAAAATAATTAAAAGTGAAGGGTAACTTTAATATTTTAACTTATATATACATACGAAACTCGTATTGGCATTTTCTCTAAAAACATACTCTGCGATTATATATGCAGCTTTGGTAGACTCTATCGAGGAATACTTCCTCCTATTCTAGTCGAAGCGCCGAAACGCGCCATAAAATTTTCCGCAAATGAACAATACTCGAGTATACTAAAAAACATCTATAACACAAATAAAATGTCACAAGGAATGTCAATAATGGGAGGCATTGGCGCTGGATGCACCGAAGCTGTCGTCATTGTACCTTTTGAATTAGTGAAAATTCGGCTTCAAGATAGAAATAACGTAAGATTAATCTATTTATCGAAAGCTATCTAGTGTTTATACAAGATAAAAGACTGATCATTGGTGGATATTACGCAATCATTTTTTTATATCAGACGGGAAAATATAACGGTACTTTTGATGCACTAACCAAAATTGTCAAACAAGAAGGTATTTGTTTTCTTATTAAACCCGTCGAATAATATGTATACATTTTCCATTTGCCAATAATATGTATTTTTTTTTTTTGAAAATTAGGACCTTTGGCCCTTTTTAACGGGCTTGAAGCAACTATATGGCGTCATGCTACATGGAATGGTGGCTATTTTGGAGTAATTTTTAGCGTGAGATCATTCCTGCCGAAAGCAAATGCAAATATATTAATATTAAACATCAGTCATATACTTTTGAGAGCTTATTTATAAATTATTCTAATCACTATTTTAATCTTATTAGACAAAACGAAAAGAACTGCGAAATAATTTTATTGCTGGAGGAATCGGTGGCACCGTTGGCACTATACTTAATACACCGTATGATGTAGTTAAAACACGAGTCCAAAACGATTCTGGAATTCCGAGAAAGTACAATTGGGCATTACCGGCTATTAAAACTGTTGCTCAAGAAGAAGGGTAAGTTATCTTTAATGCTAAGCATCTTTTTTGTTTCGCGAAATAATCATACTCTGCGTATAGAATCGGTGCACTCTATAAAGGATTCGTTCCAAAAGTTTTACGTCTCGGTCCTGGTGGTGGTATTTTATTGGTCGTTTTCGATCAGGTTACCAACTGGATGCAGAAATATTTGGCTTAATTATTAATAAATAATAATATATAATTTTTGGTTACTAGTATAATTTCACTTAAATTATTATTTATTACATTAATTTTAAATTCGCATCAAATAGTAGCAAGTAACCCTAAACCTAATATTAATATCAAAATAATGTGGAATATATGTGTATTTGATATGACAACCGCGTTAAAAAAATAGATTATACAATTACAAAAAATATGCGGGTTGGAAAATGTGTGTGCTCGCTTGAAATTAAGGGTTGTGTGTGTGTGTGGTTTGGGAAATCTCAAGGCTACTAAAGATTATTATGATAAGAATATGTTTCACATAAATATTCTCACCAAAATGATGCAAAAAAAAACTTAATATATATGTATGTGCGTGGGTATGTAAAGGAAGAGATTATGTAAGGAAGAGACAAGTCTATTTACTATAATAACACTGAATGCTTGATGAGGGATGAAGATGATGATGATGATTTTAAACCGAAATCAAAATTGATTAGAAAATGGATATTTTGCAATTCGCTAATTATGTTAAAAATGTTGTTACAAATGCTATGTATGAATTATAATGATAAATTATTGTTGATGCTGATGGGTTTTGAGGATGGTGTTTTTAAAAGAAATCTGTATCCTACATGTTGGCAGGTTAGACGGATGATGGTGGTTTTCAAATTTTTGTCTTCGAGGATAATTGAATTTGGGTTTTTTTATCGTGCTTGGGTCTCGCATCGAAAAAAATACTTACAAAATTAGATGATTTGTAGCTAAAAAAATATAGAATTCGATATTATTGTTAGCATTGATTTTTTCGTATAATTTCAAATTTATGTTTCTCAACTTACGTAATTGCTTGGTGCTATACCAACAGAACCATCAAGTTTCTTTGCTTGCCACCATTTACCCTTCTTATCAACAATCTCAAGAATTTCTCCTTTTGAGAATGACAGCTCATTTGGATCTTCTGCATTCGCTTGATCTAAATGAAATAACATAATTAATCATCTTAAATTTCTCAAACTTATCCAAGCTTCCAACTTACATGTATACAGTGCTTTGGCTCTATAGGCATATTCAGCATTTGGTGAGACTATAACTTGACTCTCACGATTCTCTGTTTGCGGTGGTGCATAACTGAGGCCACCGAGGCCACTGAGGGCAGGTCCAATATTGGAGTGGACAGAGGGTTTGCTAATTGAAGCTGCGTTGACACTATTGTGCACAAATGATCCTTCCTCACATCCAAATACAAGTACCCAAAATAGCTACACATAGATGAGAAATAATATTATCATCATAATCGAAAAATTTCATAATAACGATTAAATATCATTAACGCCTACCTCAACCATTGATAAAAAGATTAAGCCGGCACCAACCGCCTGAAATTCAGCTCTAGTCGAGTATATATAAAATTCTATCTGCCCACAACTGAATGTTATGCCAATACCTAAAAGTGTCATAATCTAATTTGATCAAGATGGTCAAGGAAATACTAAGCTTAATATATTTTTCATTGTGAAAATCCAACATATCCATTTATGGCTTCATCTTAATTAACCAGTGTATCACGAAAATCCAGTCCCACGTAAAGTATAGTAGTAAAACAAAAGGATACAGCCAATCTATAGAATCGTACACTATCACTGCCGACAGCAGCAAACAAGCTGACAAGAACAAGTAAGTCAAAGACTATCACAAACCAGGTGAATCTCCATGCATTGCCAGCGATGGCACCTATAAATGTGACAAACCAGCCAATCTATATAACGGTTGTGACAAAAGAAAAGCTCTTTGATATAAGTAAGTTCTTTTGTTGTTGGTGCATATCTAATATATACACCTTCCGTAAGAACCTTAATTGTTGTAATAGAAATCGAAACAAGCTGGTTGTGATGTGTGTGCATCATCGACTACACATCTATACATACAGCTGCCAGACCAAATGACCCAAGAAAGGTTGGGTTTCCCAGAATATTTGCGATTTCAAACGTGACCATTTCTACGGATTATGTTTTTATTGTTTTTCCGGTTCAAGATTGTTTATCTTATATATATATAAAATATATAAAATATATATAATATATAATATTGGTAAGGTTGTCAAGAAATATCAACAGCGGAAATATATAAGAGGTAGGGCAAGACTGTCGTTCGTTACGTGTTCCTCCAGATTGTTTGCGGTGGTTGTGTGAAAATAACGTGAAGCGAAAAAGGCTGGAAAAAAGAAAGACAGGTGTCAAGCTGCGCGTGCTTGGCTTTTTGGAGGAAATATTATATTAGGGTGTGAAAAAGTAGCAAAAAAAGGAGTCTATGCTGCAATGAATAAATATAAAACGGTTAGTGTAGTGTATGACGACGTTAGGTAAACGTGTCCCTACGTGTAAAAGCCGAGGGAATTTCAAATTCTAATTTAATTTAATTTAATTTAATTTACTATTGTAAAAAATAAAATTATTGCATAATGTATTAAACCATTTTATCCAACTCACCCACGATCGATTTTCCCTTCACGTGATTTTTTGATGCGATTTTTCCGGCCACAACAATTACCCGAAACATTCCGCACTAATTAAAAGTGCTACAAGTTAGATTTTGGATTTGTTTTGCCGGGTTGATCAAAATTTGCGCATCCTCATTGGTTTCGAGATCATCAGAATCGGAAACATCACGTGAAGGGAAAATCGATCATGGGTAGTTATATTAAACCTATACATTCATCCGAATTAAGCAGGCTGACCCAATTTTGGAGGGAGGTTAAAGCGGAGTAATGTGACTGATTATCAAATAAAATGTTAGCTTTCGAAGAGGAAGCCAGTAAAACCTCGAGTTTTGAATTTTGTGTGTTACACAATTGGACTGACCAAATTTGTGTGTTTCACTTGTTCTTTGATCGATTACTCCGCTTTAATGCATCCCAATTTTGGTAAATCCGCAACCGCAGTTCGGGCAACCTTTTTGTATATTCCTGTCATATTATTGATTTATAGAACCCTAGCCATGGCAAAAAAGTGTCGGGTCATGTGATGATGAACCAATCCAACCAATAAGAATGCGCAAAAATTATGCGCAACCAATAGGAATGTAGCAAATTTTTGATCAACCCGGCAAAACAAATCCGGCACACGAAAATAAGAAAAGACAAAAAATGCGAAAAATACAAAAAACAGATATCTAAATCTAGCTTGGCGTACTATCAAAAAATGTCGGGAAGACGATTTTATATGTAACCCTATCTCAGCTCTAACCTTAACCCTAATACTTAATATCTAATATTAATCGGATATTTTAATGGACCTATTTCAGATCACATGACCCGGCTTTTTTTTGCCGTGGCTAGGATTCTAATTGGTTTATGAAATACTACGTGATCAATTTCATCCAATCAGCGATAGATTTACCTGTGTCCAATCAGAACTTGGGGCAGAAATTAATAAAGCGCCCCGCGTAACCAATAAGGATGCGCAAAATTTTTATCTACCGGTGGCACAGACCAAATCAAATCAAATCCGGAGCAAGAAAATGAATCCAAAATGTCGGGGAGGCAATTTTATATATAATCTTTAAATCAACCTTTAACTTTAATTAACATTTTCCGGGTGCTCACGTGTATACACAAAACAAGTAATTTACGTAGAAAATCTTGGGTTGCCCTTGGGGGTAGTTTCCTCACCTGACACCATGGATGCTCACGTGAGGTCTTGGAACGGATCCAACGTTTCCACCATCTGCAACAGTACGATGCACAACCATGAGAGGAACTGCCTTTATCCTACAGAGAAATGCAAACTCACTATGGGACTTGCCCAGTGCTTAGAGTGCACTGTAATGGACTTGTAATGTTTTTTGGAACGTAACTTCATCTTGAATTTTTGTGTTTTGCGAAGTTGGAGGAATATCCCTTAAGCAAGCAAGTTGTTTATGGCCTCATCCCGCACATCGTAAGGCGTCACCAGAACTCACTTAAATTTTTCGTTGTTCTCAAAGTTTACAGCGTTGAGACACCATGCTTACAGCTCCTTGCTCCGCTTGACGCCCTCTCTTTCCACCGTTACGAGGTAGGATGCGTCGCGTTTTGCCTACCGGAGGCTTCTCCACTTCCTTCTTGGAATTTTTGAATCTCTTGGACGACCTCTCTTTTCCTTCTGTGGTTGGTGTCGAAGTGCGATCTGTTATGCTATAAATATTGTGAAGATAAAGAGATCTTCTGCAAGTTCTCCGGCCTCGGCATTGACATCAGTACCGAGTACCACGATCCGGGTCCCGTTATTCTCAAGGATTTCTCACATGAGCTCGGATTCGAAGCAACACAGCTGGTCTTTTCAGGCAACCACCGCTTCCTCGACTCCTCTAGCGTGTGCTCGTTCCAAAGGAGCAAAAAACCTTCCGTGCTTCCAGTCGAGTTCTGAACCGATGGTGTAACAGACATTGATCTTTTGCGCGGATTGTCGTTTCTGACCATTGTTGTCGGGTAGTCAGTTTATGGGCATCTTCGATATAATTGTCGTTTCAAAAATTCACTTTCTTTTTAATTCCGAATTTGATTATTTGATCCCGATCCAAGCCGATTTATAAATAATATACGTATGCGAGTCTTTATTTTGACAATCTCTAATGTTTTTACAAAATGTTTTTTCTTCAAGTTTCTCTAATTTACACACTCTTCCCTGTCCTTTATAGAATTTTCCCCCCTCATAAAATTCTTAGGCGCCGAACCCCTACGTTCGATTATCATATTTTTCCTTTTTGGGAATATAATATTTGAATCCCTATGCTCGATTTTCTATTCCTTTTTGGGGAATATGATTATCATGTTTCCCTTTTGGGAATAGAATATTATATGCTCGATTATCTTTTACCTTGTGATCTCCTAGTTAGACATTCCAACTCTTGTTCGGAACAAAATCAATCACTTGATTTTTTTAACTGATCCTCAGAGTCAAGAGAACCATGTAAAAATGGCAAGAATAGCTCTGTAAAATCTTGTAAAATCAAGTTGATTTTACTCGTGAAGAAACACTCTAATTTGTAAATGCGCGTTAAGAATGAAAATTTATGTCACATAATTCTTAATCTAATTCATTACATTCTTTCCAAAGGTTTTAATCCTAGCAATTTTAGTGAATTACCAAGGGTTATCCTAGACGCCCAATACATCAATAATCGAGCTTCCGCAACTTCACGTTCTGCTCCCATCACCCATAAAGTTTCTAATGCTGCTGACACAATATGACTCAATTTCATGGCATATGTCACTACTGTACAGGGTTCAAGTGTATGTAGGGCACTCTTTACTACATCTGGGTATTGGGAAATCATGTCAATTAGCTCCAAGGCCTGCTTTTCAAAGAGTAATTCAATTTTGGCATCTGGATTAATTGGCAGACCGCAGTTACGTTGTATTGAGCAGAGTCGAGCATGTGCATATTGGATGTAAGGACCAGTGTCGCCTAAAAATTAATCATATATATATTAGACGAATATCAATAAAAAAAGTAAGATTAATAATGAATAGTAGTCAATGCATTACTAAAATATCACCTACCTTCGAATGAAAACATACGAGTCCAATTGAAGGCATAGTTTCTAATTCTTTAATTTAAAGTCGTTAGCAATAAATAGATATGTAAAATTAATTACTTTTATCATTAAAATTACCTCTTAGCAGACATGTCTTGGATCATGATAGCAGAAATACCAATTACATCAGCCACCGTCTCCGGATCCTCAATTTGTTCGTATTTTTTCTCATTCTGCTTCATTACCTCGTGCATACTCTCTTTAGTCTGTTCCAAAATATCATCTAAAAACACGGCAGTACCTTTTCGAGTGCTCATTCCTTGAACCATGCCAAAATTAATATGTTTACAACGATCAACCCAATCATATCCCATCAGTTCAAGAATTTTAAACAGTTGTTTTAGATGAAGATCTTGTTGCGAAGCCACGATATAATACATGGCATCAAACTTGTACTTCTCATATCTTTCAATGGCGGCACCGATATCTCGTGTAATATATAGCGTAGTCCCGTCGGTTTTTTGGACAACCGCCACATCCAACTTGTATTGTTTTAAGTCGACAATAATTGCGCCTTGGGATTCTTGTACAAGATTTTTCTCTCTTAATAATTCTGACGCATCTAAAATACTTTTATTGCTAATTTGAGATTCTCCAGAGTATACGTCAAAATTGATATTTAAACGAGCGTAGGTTTCTTTATATTTTTCGATACTCAGGTTTCGAAATTTATTCCACAATCCTATCGCTGTTTGATCACCTGTGATTATTACGAATAATATTTCCATCAGTTTTTATCATTTTTGAAAAAAGATTATTTTGTTATTACCGTCTTCCATGCTTTTAAAATAAGAACGAGCTTTATCATCTACACCTTTATCTGTCTCCGCATCTTTCTATATTAATTCCAATTTTAATAAACAAGGTATTTTTATTATTATTAAGACAAATTTATCCTAGACCCAATTGAAATAACATGTGATTTGTTATTATATAATTTTAGGATAAAACTACGCTTATTATTACTCACGTTTATTTTGACATAAACATCGTAAAGATGTTTTATCGGATCTTTTAACAATTCTTCTTCTGATCCATATTTCTCAAAACCAATGGCCAAGAGACCTGAGTTATTTAGAAAAATATAATCATTCATAATAGCGAGATAAAAGGATCAGGAAAAAATTTACCATATTGTTTTCCCCAATCACCCAAATAATTCATTCTGATGGTTTTCCATCCATTCGCATCAAGTACATTTCCCACAAAATTACCAATTATGGTGCTACGCAAATGTCCTGCGTGAAACGGTTTGGCAATATTTGGACTACTGAATTCGACCAGTGCTGTCTTCCCCGAAGCTGAATTATTACTACCGTATTTCTCTTTGGTATCGTATATATGTCGAAGCAGTATTTTGGCTAAAAGAGGACGTGATATCTTAAAATTGATATAATGACCGCTGGCTGATGCAGAGATAATATATTCATTCGGAACAAACTTCCCACCAAAGAGGAAAAAAGGTGTTTTGGTTAAGAGATTTTTTAGGAACCATTGATGTACATTGTTGTTGTTTTCTTTATTACCTTCTCTACCCAACTCTGAGCAACCTCAGCAGGATTACTCTTTATTCGTAACCTTGGAACAGCAATTGCTATATCCCCATGCTCTGGAATTTTAGGTGCCTCTAACAAATTATAAACCTCTTCCGGCGACTTTTCAGATAACTTTGCAATCTCATGGGACACGATATTACGAAAAATGTCCAAATTATTGTGTTCCCAATCTGATCCTTTGACATGAGGGATCATATTTGTAGATTTATTATGAGCGCTAGCATCGACCATATCAAGTGCTTGTTTTACCTCGGGGTATGCCTCAATTTTTTGAATCCATGTACTAACAAGTGACGAATCATTTAATCGCGTCTGTTGCACATTTTTTTCTAGAGATTTAATTGCACCCCAAAACGCAAGGTCAACAAGAGCCGGTTTTTCAGAGTACACCAAAAAATTCCCCGCGCTTTCCTCAAGTTCTTGTTTTAATAATGCGAAAAAATCTGTTCCTGGTAACGTGGAATCAATTGAATCTAACAATTCATCTTGTTTTATGGTATTTAATATTTCTGAGGGGTTTGTTTCGTCATACAGACTTGTGGATTTTGAAACACGCGCTAAGTAACGATAAATGTTAACACCAAAGAAAGATATTTTGGGTTTTTCAGAAGTAACTTTTAAATTGACGCTGTTGATCGCTTTTAGAGGTACAAGTCTAAGATAGTTTGGGTCTTGTTGAGTTAACAAGTAGACAGCAACTTGGCCATAAGGTGGAAGATTCTCAGTAAAATGCAATTCCATTATGAGTTGCAAAAATTATTGTACAACTTAGTCCAACAACTAAACTTGATAAAATTCAAATCGCTCAAAAAAAAAGATAGACACCAAATTTAATCTCAGTATAATAAAGCTATTATTCAAGCTGAACAAAACTATGTTTTCAGATTTAAGCAGTAGTTGAGGTAAATTTACTATTAAACTGATAATTTGGCCACCTACACGTGATCAACATATATGATCATGCTCATTGTTGATTGGCTGGTTTAAGAATAGTATGTTAATGAATTAGTACATTATGGAATCACGTAAACACGTGATCCGGAAACTTGGTTAATTATCCAATAAAATTACAATGTTACTATATCCCGTGATAGCAGATCGTAACGCCAATAACGATAATATGGCCAGATTTGCATCTAAATATTACAAAATAGCCTTTGATAAGATCTATACTATATAGAATATTAATTAGTGGAATGTATCCATCTGTTGTTGGTCTTTTGGTTAGTGATTTTGATGAAACAATAACTCAGAATGATACTCTTTCTGTCCTCATTGCCATATGCCCTCGTATGTCGGACGATTGTAGAAAGGACTGCCCCCCTCCCTGGTCCTACTTTGTGGAACTATATTTTAAAGAGCGAGCAGAACACATCAAACGCTGGGGCGAAACAAACTCCGAAAGAACACTTGAAGACTTTTACAAATTGTTAAAGTCATTAGAGAATGTTGAAGAAAGGTCTATGAAACGCGTCGAGGATTTCAAGTGTTTAGTTGGCGTGCGTTCGGAAGAACTTCGGGAACAAGGGAAAAAAATCAAGAAACAACCAGGAGCAGTTGACGTTATAGAACGCTATTTGGTAAAGAACAAACCAGGATCATTTTATGTAATTTCAACCAATTGGTCACATGACATGTTGTTTGGATGTCTTCAAGAGATTGATGGAATAGATGAGAAAATAATTATATCGAATGATTTTGTATTTGAAGAAAACTGTTCAACTGGTAAATTCAAACGTAAGGTACTCACTGCTCTAGATAAATTAGAAATATTTAAACAGCTTACAGTACCGCGAGACAAAATTTCAGTCTATGTCGGCGATTCTGAAACAGATTTGCCATGCATGTGTAAGTAGACTAACTCGAATTATTTTTAATTTCATCCCTTATCGTTATCATTATTGTTACGTATCTTTATATATTTTATATCGACATTATTACGTAGTGGCTGCGGACATTGGAATTATTATGGGCAACAATGTTTCGCTTGCTCAATCTTGCAAGAAATATGGAATTGAGATCATTGAAGGATTGCAATCTGCCTATCCAAAGAATTCAATTTCTAAAAAAAGACTTTTCAGAGTAAAAGATTGGATCGAAATTGGGAAGAGTGAACTTTTTTGATTGGATTTTTTTTTATTTATATACAATATGTACTACAATGAATATAATACACTTTTCGAGTACTGCGCATAATAAAACCGCAGTAACAAAATTATTTTTTTCGATCTTGGGTATTTCATGTTTTTACCCGGAAATTTTTCCTGTCCAGTTATAAAGAGATTTTTGCCATATTTTTTTTTTGGCACTTACTTTCTCCCTGATACTTTGGTAAACGGCAAATATGGTATGAAATAATATTTTTCTATTACGAAATTTTACTCGTTTAAGTCTTGCATTGTGAATGAACTGGAAACATTACTAATTATTATGCTTAAAATGAAAAATATCGTAACAGGTGAACTTTACAGTAGACCAGATTCGTGCTCTTGTATGTATCAAATATTTAAGCATTCATAAATATGGTTTGATAATTAGTAACAAACATATAATAAATAAATTAAAAAATTTGATATATAGATGGACAAAGTCGCTAATGTGCGCAACATGTCTGTTATCGCGCATGTGGACCATGGCAAATCTACATTAACCGATTCTTTAGTCTCAAAAGCTGGTATTATTTCCTCAGCAAAGGCTGGAGAAGCTCGATTCACAGATACACGTGCTGATGAACAAGAACGCTGTATCACAATCAAATCCACTGCCATCTCTATGTATTTTGAATTACCTAAAGAAGACTTGTCGGATGTTAAGCAAAAAACCGAAGGTCTGTATGCAAAGAATCTAAACTTTTCCTATATTTCATATAAAACTTTGTGATCATCTAATATTTAAGTTAAACCAAATTTGCAATAAGATCTTTCAATTGTTCATTGAAATAAAATAAGTATATAGAAGATTACTCAACTTTTAGTCTATCTTAATTAGGCAATGAATTCTTGATCAATTTGATCGATTCACCCGGACACGTCGATTTCTCATCTGAGGTTACCGCTGCACTTCGAGTTACCGATGGCGCTTTGGTGGTAGTAGATTGTGTCGAGGGTGTATGCGTGCAAACAGAAACTGTATTGCGACAAGCTTTAACTGAACGCATTAAGCCTGTTATCATTATAAATAAAGTGGATCGTGCTCTGCTAGAATTACAGTTAACAAAAGAAGATTTATATACGGTATATTTCTTTTTTTTTTTAGAGAAAAAAATGCAATTACTAACTAAATTATATATTTATTTAATTAGTCTTTCCAACGTACCGTTGAATCTGTGAATGTCATCATCTCAACATATTTTGACAAAACTCTCGGCGAAGTGCAAGTTTACCCTGAAAAGGGTACAGTCGCCTTTGGATCTGGTCTCCACGGCTGGGGCTTCACACTCCGACAATTTTCGCAACGTTACTCGAAAAAATTTGGTGTCGACAAAGAGAAAATGATGCAAAAATTGTGGGGTGAGAATTTCTTCAATCCAGCTACCAAGAAATGGACAACAAAAAGTACGACGGCTGATGGAAAACAACTTGAGCGTGCTTTCTGCATGTTTGTGTTAGATCCGATCTTCAAATTGTTCGATGCGATTATGAATTTCAAAAAAGAAGAAACCACCAAAATGTTGGACAAGTTGGAAATTCAACTAAAGGGCGATGATAAAGATCTTGAGGGAAAAGCCTTATTAAAAGTTGTCATGCGTAGATTCTTACCGGCTGCTGACGCATTACTGGAAATGATAGTCATCCATCTTCCGTCACCAGTTACTGCTCAAAAATACCGTTCCGAAAATTTATACGAAGGTCCAGCAGACGATGAATGCGGTATTGCTATTCGAGATTGTGATCCGAATGGACCACTTATGTTGTACGTTTCGAAGATGGTACCAACATCTGACAAGGGAAGATTTTATGCTTTCGGTCGTGTGTTCTCTGGTACCGTGCGCTCTGGTCTCAAAGTTCGCATTCAAGGACCAAATTACCAACCAGGAAAGAAAGAAGATTTGTTCGTCAAATCAATACAACGTACTATTCTCATGATGGGTCGATATGTAGAACCTATCGAAGATTGTCCTGCTGGTAATATTGTCGGTCTCGTAGGTGTAGATCAATATTTGCTAAAATCAGGTAAATATACTTTTTTTTTGTTTTGGTAATTTTTGTTATATTTTAATGATATCCTAATTTTATTTTATTTTATTTTTCATTTGTTAGGTACAATCACCACTTCAGAGACGGCACATAATTTAAAAGTGATGAAATTCTCAGTTTCTCCTGTCGTGCAAGTCGCCGTCGAAGTAAAAAATGCCAACGATCTTCCAAAATTAGTCGAAGGTCTAAAACGTCTATCAAAATCGGATCCATGTGTGCAATGCTACACCTCAGATTCTGGTGAACATATTGTCGCTGGTGCTGGTGAATTACATTTGGAAATTTGCTTAAAGGATTTGGAAGAAGATCACGCGCAGGTCCCAATTAAAACTGGTGACCCAGTAGTACCATATAGAGAAACCGTGCAGGCGGAATCTTCAATTATTGCTCTGTCAAAATCACCCAACAAACACAATCGTCTATTCATGAAAGCATTTCCAATGCAAGAAGAGCTTTCAAATGATATCGACACGGGTAAAATCAATCCTCGTGATGATCCCAAAACGCGTGCACGTATTTTAGCAGAAGAATACGGCTGGGATGTCTCAGATGCTCGAAAAATTTGGTGTTTTGGTCCAGACACGACGGGTCCTAATTTGTTGGTTGATGTGACTAAAGGAGTACAATATCTTAACGAAATAAAAGATTCTTGTGTTGCTGCATTCCAATGGGCAACAAAAGAAGGTGTCTGCGCAGAAGAAAATATGCGCTCATGTCGTTTCAATATTCTCGATGTAGTGTTACATGCTGACGCCATTCATCGCGGAGGTGGACAGATTATTCCCACTTGTCGTCGTGTCATCTATGCTGCTTGTTTAACAGCCACACCGGGTCTTTTGGAACCTATATATCTTTGTGAAATCCAGTGTCCTGAAAATGCTATGGGTGGTATTTATGGTGTCTTGAACAGACGTCGTGGTCACGTCTTTGCAGAAGAGCAGCGTCCTGGTACACCACTCTACAATGTTAAGGCTTATCTTCCTGTAAGCACTATTTACTTTATCAATTCATTCATAATATTTAAATAATTAATCGTTAAGTTAGTAAATATTAACATGTATTTTATTAGGTAAATGAATCATTTGGATTCACAGCTGATCTTCGATCAAATACTGGTGGTCAGGCTTTCCCTCAATGTGTATTTTCACAGTACGTATAATACTTTTGGATTTTATTAAGATGCATTTTTTTTCTCTACAAGTACGGTTTATTTAACTTGTTTGCTCTCTATGCTATTAGTTGGCAATTAATGAACGGCACACCACTAGAGCCGGGTAAAGTTTCCGATATCGTAAAAGCTGTCCGAAAGAGAAAAGGCCTTGTTGAAGAGATTCCTTCGCTCGACAAGTACTTGGATAAACTATAATTTAGATTTTAATTATACAAAGAAGAAAAGAAATAGTTTTGGCATATAGTTGCTCAAAATGATTGAATCGCTCAATTCAAAAAGTATTAACGTTAATTTAATATTATTTATTAATAAATAAATGCTTGCGATTTTCACCTAATATCGAGAATACCTTAGCCATGGCGTTACGGGTCATGTGATTCCGATCCCTGACTATCCAGATCCCTGCCCGGTGTTTACTATTGTGCTACACTTATGCAATCATTATAAACTTTAATTACTTTTTGTCGTCGTATTTATATTTAAGATTTTTGTAAATTTAAAAGAATTAAGAAATATCGAATGCCTTAACAAGAAAATGATAAAATGCCTCCAATAAAATAAAAAAATTAAAGGCAAGCTTTTTATTCTTTTTGTTTTGATTTCCAAGTATCCTGTTGAGTGCGAGTTTGTAATGCTTCAATCTCCTTCACAAATGGCATCATCAAGGCATCAAAGTTACTAATAGAGTCATCATTATCCATCTCCCACTCATATAATGCCAATGCAACATCAATTTTTTTTATATTGATCAAGTTTTGCTCATCTTTCCTCCATCACATTATGGTTTGTTTCTATTAATGTATTTGTAAGTTGCTCAAGCTGGAGTTATCTTCTTCAATAAAATCATTTTCGATTACTATTATACTAAGTCTGGTCTAGAGATTATTTGTCAGAGCAATAACTGGTGCTTTGTCACTCCCAAAGAATAATTATGTTGTTATGCTATCTTCAAAAAAGTGAATAGAAATCATTTACTATTTCTTTTGTTAATAAGATATTTGCAAAGGTGATAACAATTATGTAAGTATGTTGAACAAGAACAGATCCAATTATTAATATCAATGTGATTAAAGATGGATTTCAAAATTAATGATGTAATTTAGGAACATAGCCAAAACTAATTTAGAGATATAAACAAAACTAATTTAGAGATATAATCAAAACTAGTTTAGATTATAGTTATATTTCTCCAGGATAGTTTAGGAATCCATTTTTAAATATGATATTTTTCTTTAATATTGAATTGAATATTCATTGTGACATTTTTGTACCAGCTCTTTTGAATATATATCATTATAATAAAAAAATACAATTTCTATTATATTGAACTAGTTTAATTTCATAATCAGATACAAGTGAGTTGATTTACTTGTGATAGTTATACAATCAAACCTCTCTATAGTCACCACTCTTGGGAAAGCAAAATTTGGTGACTATAGAAGGGATGTGACTATAGAGGGATTTTTTTTACTATATTTATATGTAAATGGGAAAGCAAAATAAGGTGACTATAGAGAGATGTAACTATAAACAGGTGTAACTATAGAGGGATTTGACTATAATTATATTTTAGAACACACCAATAACTTTTTGTGATTATAGTAATATATATAAAAAATATGGCTAGCAAATATAAAGATCGAACAAATAGCTTTTAGTTCTTTTTATTATATTATTACAAGTTTGTTTAATAATTGTTAAATTAGCTTACAAACTTGAATCTGAATTGGAAGAAAATATTAAACTGATAAGCAAAA